AGGAGAGATGCTCCAGTCCCCTCATCATCCTCGTAGCCCTCCGCTGGACTGTCTCCAGCAGCTCCTCATCTTTCTTGAAATGGGGAGCCCAGAACTGGATACGGTGCTCCAGATGGAGCCTCACTAGGGCAGAGTAGAGGGGGAGGAGAACCTCCCTTGGAGGTTTTACTCTACTCTACCCATATCTACTCCAAGACTTCTATCAGGCAGCTGCCACTCTCCTGTTCCCAGCGGCTTTCCTTGTTTGTTTTTCTTTTGGTGACTGCTCTTGCCACAAAACACTTGCTGTAGCTTCCTGCATCCCTTTTTATTTGCTGGGCAAAAGGCTGATCGCTGACCGGTGTGTTTGCATGGACTGACAAGTCAGGCAGCTAAAACAGATTTTGCTCTCTCAAAAGGGGCATTTATTTTCATTTCTCTTCTCTCCTCAGCTGACGATTTTCTGGAAGTTATAGAAAATTATTTATTCTTGCAGTCTTTACTTCCCTATCAGATGTGGTTGTCTTTGTAAGATGCAGCTATATTCACTACACATAAACGTGAATAGAGCCAGAATTATCAGTTTCTCCAACCTCATCCACATATCACACACAGCCTAGGTCTCTCCTACCCCATAATTTTTTGGAAGCTACCTCCTTGCAAACATCAGGACTGCAGACATCAGAAGGGACCCGCAAAGCCCACAGGCTGAAGGTTCAGTCTGCCTCAGTCTTACAGAGGTGGGGAAAAGAACACCTCCAGATACCCAGGGCACTGGCTGAACATGAACAAGCCAGACATTATGAAACACCTCACTGAGTTTTCCTACAAGAATACATGTTTTTCTCTTGTTCTTCTGTTTTTTCCCCAAGACATGGAGAAAAGCATTACCAAAGGGCTGGAGAGCTGTCAGAGAGGTTCAGAACTAAATTCTCAAGTATTGGTAAAACTAAAAAAAAAATGACCAGCAGAGGCAGTTCCCCCTACTCTCCTCATTCCCTAAAACCCCCAAGGAACAATGTGACCTTTCAAGCACTAAAAAGTGCAAAACTTGACACGTACAATAAAAACCATGCAGGCACCTCCTACAAGACAGGCAGCTCAGTAAAATTCTGCCATAAGAAGCAGTAAAGAAAATATTTTACTTTCAAGTCCTTCCTCACTGAGTACCCACATTGTAGACAAAACAAACATAATGAAAGGGAACTAATTATCAAGTGACGTCCCATCAGTTCACTGTACCTTTAACGAAATATGGACAAAGATAAAAGGGGTTACAGAAGCACATTCAGATTTTATCAGAACAATCTCTATAACGCTATTTCATCTAAACCTCCACGTTACAGTTTAGCACTGCCCTGTAATCCCATGGAATAGTGCCCACTTTATGTTCGGAATATCCATATTTAGAAAGAAGATTTTATTATGAAACACAGTTAAAAAGAAAACATGATTTTTTTTCCCAGTGTCCTACATAGATAGTTGAATCATTCATATTTAAAGAAGAGCCACGGATGTTGCCTTTTTTTTTTTAATTATATCTATATAACTTGCAGCTGGTAGTCTACAAAGAGAGATGTTGTCAACATATGACAGGACACATCCCCCAAAATACTAGCACTTTGGAGCTAAAACAGGTAGCACGGGAAGTTGTTGTGGAAACCTGATGACAGTTTTGTTGTTTCAACACTTTGACTAGAATTTCAGCTGCTAATGATGGAAGCATAAGAAAGAGACCACTAGTCTGGATTTTCAGTTAATGGTGATAACACCTTGCAGCTGAAACTGCGCTGTGGAATGAGCTGGTATTCTCTTCTTGTCCTACAGTGCTAAACCAAAGCAAACAAACAAAAAGATTTCTCATTTACACGGTGATAGGACCATCTGCTACCCAAGTAATAATGCAAAATCAAACGGTCCTTCAGGTGCTGCGCTGGCCGGAGCAGCGCCCATGCCATGCACACACTGACATCACTCACCCACTGCGAGGAGAGAGGATGCCTTACGTACGGGCCTGCTGCTTTCTCTTTTTTCTTGCTGGCTACGCAGTTTTTCAGTGCTCCCAAAGGCTCTTTTATTTTTCAGACTATCTTTAACCAGAGACAATCTTGTGAGAAAAGTACAAGTCTTTAAGGCTAACATTACAATCCAAGCAGAAGAGCTAGTCACACAAAGAGAAAGGGTTTTCGAAGCTTCAACTCATTTTAAATGACACTTACATTCATTTCTGCAGTTTTTCTGCTACAAGCAAATGAACAACCTCATTCTGCATTCCACTGAACACCTCAAATCCCCTTTACAGTCAATGAACATCTGGAGTCCAAATGAATACAGAATTAATCCCCAAGGCTGGACAGCAAAACAGGTCAAGAACCATCCCTGCTACAAAAGTCACTGTGGAAATCTTGCAGCAGGTCAGCTGAAACCAGGCTGCACTTCACTACTGGTTTTGTAACACAAGTTTATTTTCAGACCAATTTCCCTTAACCAGCTCTTGCCCACGGTACAGCATTAGCATAGCTACAAGGGCAGTGACCTAAACTATCCTGACAGAACCGGCAGCAAGTAGGTGCACCCATAATCAGCAGCAGGGCACTCCTAGGACATTCTTCTAACCAGATTCTTAGCACCCTTCACTCTCCCAACAGTCTCTGGAGAAGCTGACGGTACTCGATTCCTGGGGCTTTTAAGCCTTTCCTTTTCCTTCCATTGTGAGGAATAAAAAAGAAAAAGAAATTAAAAAACAGAAAATGGAAAGAAACAAAGCAAGTCAACAACACTCACATGCTCTCCTACGCACACACACCCCCACACAGAGGAAAAGAAAAAGAGGAAAAAGGAAAGTTGTACGAGGTGCCAATCTGGAATGAAATGGATTTTTGAATGGACAGTCATATTTGGCACTGTCAGCAAAAGCTTGTGGGTGGCCCTGTGTCTCTCTGAGCCTTAATGCCCTTTTTACATCGGTCATTTAAAAATGTCCCTCGGAAAGTTCAGCTGTGCTGCTTCTGACATTGTTTTCACAATGCTGCTGAATGGACTCGATGGAGAGATTCACCTTCCCTCACCCCAGTTCCATAAAGCACTACACGTTAAGGCCGTATTCCATTTGGCCTTCAAGTAGCGTTTTTATGGTCCATGCAGATCCACGATTATTTTCCCTTTAAAAAGAATCAACGGAAAACTGAACTCTCTGTTGGAGAGCATGGAAATTAGAAACTACTGGATCTCCCAGACCGACTCCTACAATCCTCAGGCAGAAGACTGGATTAAAGGGTCCTCACATGGTTCTAGCTGCATTCTCAGTACACCACTTTTATGAAGAAACCAGAGCTGTAGAAATTCCTCCGGCATGGCGTGGAATCCAGAATCAGGCAAGACGTTGTCATAGTAATGATGGCTAATAAACTTCCCGTGCAGGTCCACCGAGAACGGCCAGAAGCCATAAATTGTTACTTCTTCGCACAGGCCAAGGGCGGCACTGACTAGGAAAAGTCCTGTGGAAAGCCGTTTGGCATGGATACCTTTGCTCTTCCAGAACTTGCCAATGTCACGTAGGAAATTGGGGTTGGCGAAAAGGACCGCCTGTTTGGCACCGAAGTCCTCCAGGGTGTAATAGACACGGAGGGAGGGTCCCGTCCCTGTCTTCATCGAGAAGGCTGGCATGTAGATGTAGCTGTGGTTATACACCTTCACACTGTCCACAAACGCTTTTCGAGACCACAGCAGATTCTGGAACCTGTAAAACAACGGAGAAAAAGAAGTTGGCCATACATAGGTTTTCGCAGTCATTTAAAAACCAAGCTAAAAGCTGCGCTTCACACACATATTTACCATTACCTGCACACCTTTCTCAAGCCCAGAGAAAGTCCAGACAAACTTCTGACTTTCTGACACTGCCTCTCTTCTAAAAACATTAGCCTGAATAGACAGTGGAAAACTATCTGGCATCCTGCTAACTCCAAAACCCAAACCCTTTATGATTTCATCTTTTCAAAAAACCCTGAATCAACACTGCCAGTTTTCCTGAAAATCAGTCATTTTTAGTGACATTTTCCTTTCTGTCCAAAAAACAACTTCTATTTTCAGGCACAGGAATCGTTAAAAGAAATTTTAAAGTCCGTGTTGTTCTTGTTTCTTAGAGGAGTACAAAAAAGAATCCAAGTTACATGCTGAACAAGCAACATCGAGAAATACTTAAATAGAAACCTAAATACTTAAATAAAACTTCTAAAACTTGTAAGAATTGTTTTTGTTATGCCTGTATAGTGATTTAGGTTGCGCTACCATAGCAGCTGATTCTCGTTCTGGAACGGAGAGAAATCTCAAAGAACATACTTTGTTACGAACATGTAAACCAGAAATCAATTAATTGTTTAGGATAAGTGGCACCACAAAAATTTAGCAACAAGTACCAAACTATTCAAAGCTGGTGTTTAAGACAACACAATTTATATACTGGGTAGGTTTCAAAGCAGCTGGTATTTGTAGCATGCAAGTTAAAGGAGCGACTAGTTGGCAGCTGTAAGGAGGGCAATGTACATGTACAGATTATTTCTCTAATATGATAGTCTTCTCATCTCTTGATATAAAAACTACATCAGGTTACAACCTGTTAAAATGCCAATACCTATTTGCTGATGTCTGTTTTATCCCTGGTGTTAGACTGCTATGCTAGTCCAAATTCCTATGCTAGGCCTGGTGAGGCTTCATCTGGAGTACTGTGTCCAGTTCTGGGCTCCCCAGTTCAAGAAAGATGAAGAGCTACTGGAGAGAGTCCAGCGGAGGGCTACGAGGATGGTGAGGGGACTGGAGCATCTCCCCTACGAGGAGAGGTTGAGGGAACTGGGCTTGTTCAGCCTGAAGAAGAGAAGGCTGCGAGGGGACCTTATAAATGCCTACAAATATCTGAAGGGTGGGTGTCAGGAGGATGGGGACAAGCTCTTTTCAGTGGTGCCCAGTGACAGGACAAGGGGCAATGGGCACAAACTGAGGCACAGGAAGTTCCGTCTGAACATGAGGAGGAACTTCTTCCCTCTGAGGGTGCCGCAGCACTGGAACAGGCTGCCCAGGGAGGTTGTGGAGTCTCCTTCTCTGGAGATATCAAAGCCCCGCCTGGACGGGGTCCTGTGCGGCCTGCTGTAGGTGACCCTGCTTTGGCAGGGGGGTTGGACTAGATGACCCACAGAGGTCCCTTCCAACCCCTACCATTCTGTGATTCTGTGATTCTGTGAAAACCAGTATTCTGTCACAAGTACAACCTCTCCTTGCCATCTGCTCCTGGACATGCCAAGATGAGTGAGACATCTGGCAGGAGATCCTAGGCCATTCCCACACACCAAAACCTGCGCTGGTGTTTGACCTGTCCTGTCACCCGACACTACGCAAATCACATCTCAGTAACATATTAAAGTATCATTGGACGTAACCGACACGAAGGTCAACCAGAGCTATGGGTAACATCCATTGCCTAAAACACAAACTTGCAAACAGAAGCACTTGCTGTCCTGGGGTGCAGACTGCACTGGAGGATATTTCTGCATAGGAAAGTACCAATGACTTACTCTCGATAATCTGCTTTCTTTCCAGAGTCCACACAACCTTCAGCACAACAGTAAGCCCTCCCCACCTTCACCACATGGCAGTATCTATAGCCTTCAGCATGCAGGCAAAGTTTACTCCACTAAAAGCCACTTCTGCACAAGCTTCATGCACTCCTTTCATTGCAGCTGGGTTGCTCTCCTGCACGTGATCCCTAATTTTTAACTCAGCTCACAAATGCCCGTCTTGACCTTGTTGCTGTCTCCTCTCTCAGTTTTCCGCAGCTAAGGCAAATGTGTCATGATTGATTTCATAGTCACGAAGCTAAGGATGAGGAACAAAACCTTGAGACAGCAGCACTGGATTTTTTTTTTCCTTTCTCTGGTGCAGACAGAGAGACAGATATAAGAATACCTTTTTTAAAGGGTTATGAAGAGATCAGTTTTGCTGATAGACCTCTGTGAAACAACAGCAAGAATCACACACACAGCAAGATACACAGGTTTAAGTAGGATGCCAGATGACCTCAAGCAGCACTAGATAAAATATCAGCTGAAATGATTGCCAACAAAAAATACAGCTTCAACAGCATTGAAACATCTCATGAACATGTGCAGGTTATTTGAAGTCTTTGTTTTGGCAGAAAACTTGAAATACTCCTAATAAGTTGAAAGGTTTTGTTGACATTTTCAACATGCAGTACTTGGTCTCCTGATTTGCTACAAGTTTCTTTCAAAATTTCCTTCAAGTGAAATTAGAGTAAAGCTGTTTTGAAACAAATCCCCTGAAATCTGCCTGGGTTTTCATTACTGTTTCGCTCTGTTTGCGGGTCTGCTCCTACTGCGTGGTGATATTTTCTAACGTAGACAAAGCCACTGCCTTCTAAGCAAGCAATCAATTCAATCTGAACATACAAAAAAATGCAATAAAAATCATTTCATAACTTATTGCATTTGGCATTCTTTTCTGTAGAAATAGCCAATATAGAGCTGAATACAGCAGACCAGCTGAGATCAAGATGCCTGGCAGAAATGCACTGGCTGGTTGTACCTTCTCACACGGGCCCTTCTCACTCCATTGCTATCAGACCTTCAACTAAGTGTTCCCCAAAACAGGCTTCACCATCCTCTCTTCCTAAGGAGCAGCAAGACAACCTGTCAGATCATCAGGTACAGGAGTTGCATCCATCCTATTGAACTTGTTCCATTTCCATCAGGACACAATCACTGAGAGTAACACCAACAAAAAAATCCCTAGCTTCATACTTTCAGCATTCACCTAGGCACTCAGAGCCTCAGTATCCAAACCCTTTTCTAATAACCCTCATTGCTTACAACAGGTAGAATAAGACCAGCAGCAGGTTTTTGGACTGTCCCCCTCCCTGTAACTTGGGACATCCCCTGGGAGGTGGGAGATGCAGGTTCAAACTTCCTTTCACAGTAAGGGGAACTTGAGCACACAGCTTGATGTGATGGGGTCCCCGCACCTTGGCGGAGGGGAAGGCAGAAAAGAGGTCCTCTGTCACTTTTGGAAGATGGTTTCACCATGCCCCTTCCCACCTACAGCTAGTTTACAAATTTCACTTCAGATGGCAAATAGATGTGGTTATTCTAAAACTGCATTTTTCAGCAAATTTACCATTCACAGCAAAGCACTGCGTGGCTCTAAGATGAATACTTAAAAATTGCTCAGAGGGCCAGGGACTGTCTCTGAATATTCATTTGCTATCATGGCCACAACGCATTTACATTTCTTCGAGATGAATCTCCCCAAATGGCTTAAAGTAACGAGAAGTGAACGGCACTGCCATGAGAGCGGTGCACGGAGGGGACTTCACGCGGAAGGGACAGCATCTGTCACGCTACCGCAAACTGTCCTTCAGGAACATCACCACCTCCTGGACACCCGTGCCTCATTCCGACGATCCGGATGGCAGTGTCAGCAGGCTGCACGCCCAGTGCAACAGATGGACACCATACAGGTGGCCAGGAGCCCATGCAGGAGCATAAAACATGCTGATTACGGCTGGTCTGACAGCCTAACAGCCAAAAAGCTGCTGCCCGTCTTGTGCTCCTCGTGAGGGTAGATACTAGAAGCAAATGAAATTTTCTGTTCCCCATTTGGAAAAATACGAGTCCTGTCCAGCTTTCTGACATTTCAGCAGCTGGTTAGAGGCTGAGAAATCTGGGGACAAATGCTGTGCGTCAGCAAGTTCCTAGAAATGGTACTGGAAGATGAAGTGCATTTTCCTTTAACTCCCTGTCCAGACAGGGATTCCTGCAGGCTACCCCATTCCAGCGGTGGCTTTGAGGGTACCACACAGCCTATCTCCCAGCAGATAGCGATGAGGCTACTCCATGCCTGACAGAGAGACCAGGAGGGCTCTTCCTCTGCAGCCGCAGTGCATGCGTGAGCATGACGGTATGTTTTTTTCCTGCTTGTTCCGGCGTGGACGCTGCCAGCCTGGTGCAGTCCTCGCATCCAGATGGGCACAAACTCCTCCCCTTGTGCTGACCCTCGCCCAGCCTTCTGTGAGTGAGGAGCTGCTGGTTCCTGGTTAGTGCTCGCCTCTACCTGACACGCTTTGAACACTCAGTACTCTTTCCAGGTCATCCTCCGACCTTCTGCAGTCGAGCTCACACAAATACATGGTGGGCTGCCAGCACTTTGATAAAACTGGCTTTGGAATCTCCCACGCCCTGAGCAGCACCTGAAGACGACGTGAGCTGCGCAGCGATGTGCGGTCATGTGTCCCGGCAGCTTGATGGCCACCCGGTGAGGCACTGGTGGCGGCGGGCACTGGTGAAAGCAGATCATGGCACGTTCAGCCTTGGCGCTTCGCTTCTGCTGCTCTCCTCAACGGACAGCGAGCAAATAAAACCATCAGCAACACATTTCTATGGCAGAATCATAGAACCATAGGTTGGAAAAGACCTCTAAGATCCTCACGTCCAACCATCCACCCAACACCACCATGCCTACTAAACCACATCCTAAAGTGCCACATCTACAAGTTTTTCGAACGCTTCCAGGGATGGTGACTCCACCACCTCCCTGGGCAGCCTGTTCCAATGTTTGACCACTCTTCCAGTAAAGAAATTTTTCCTAATATCTAATCTGAACCTCCCCTGATGCAACTTGAGGCCATTGCCTCTTGTCCTATCACTAGTTATCCGGGAGAAGAGACCAACACCCACC